CAAAAGCATTTCTTAATTTACATTTGTCATTTCAGTTTAATTCTTGGTGGGAGGGTGTCTCCATCTAAACTAGGACATCTTCCTGCAGCCTGAATTTTTCTCTCAGCTGCAAATATTGGTGCTGTATTCTCCCCTTCAGTCCCAGACCAATGCTGTCAGCTTTTGGATAAAGAGAAGTGGTCAATGCGTAACTAAATGTACAATGAAGAAAAAGCCTGCTTACAGAAATCAGTTCTGTAGCATGCCCCGTGGAAATTAAGATGTGACTTTTAAAAATAAGTTTAAATGCAGTGTCAGTGCCAGGACTAGAAAATCAAAATTTGTATAAGTATGTGTAAGTATATATGTATATAGACCCAAATAAGCCAGAAAATGTATTACAGATGATTGAAGTGGGAGCTTGTCTGATGTGCTCGGATAACTCATCAATGCGGTGTTTCTACTATATTAAAAAAAATCAAATTATTAAGTGTATTCTAAATGAGTCAGTCACTTCAAGGTACATGAATATCACAATTATAGAAAAAGGCCTTGATCCTGAAAACATTTATGTCTGTGAATTTTTAAGACAAGAGAATAGTCTTTGTAGGACTGACCTCTTACTTTACATTATTCACACATATGAACTTGCATGCACGATCAGAGACTAAGGCAGGAATACACATTTACAAGCTATCAACATTTTACCTAAAATGTCTCTTAAAACAGATTCAAAGTCATAACCAGCTGTTTCTTATTTAAAGCTTAAGAAATAAATGCTCATTAATACGATCTAATAGTGTAGACACTTCTACACAGAAGGAATGCACCTGATGTTTTCACCCATTCCGTCTCAAATTTTGGGAAAAAAAAATTAACTGATCTAAAATAAGTTATATTAAGACCATTCATACTCATATCAGCCCCTTCGTGTTAGAAACACAGCAACCCTGGGGAACTGCACTGATAGCATGAATAAAACATCACCAATTTTATTGTGTCATTTTTTTTAACAGGCCAAAAGTTGTACCTAATCAGGAACAGCTGCGTTGGGTCTTTAAGAATTAATGATTATCCTAGCTCTATAAGAAGGAAAATATTGCCTGTGCTTCAAAACATACATCTATATATACACATTTCAAAGATGCACACATATTTCAGATGCACAAATCTGAACAAATGGAAAGCTTTTGGGTGACGCAGTGCTTTTATTTGTGCATTCCCAAATTAATATGCATTCTGATAAATGCGCAAAATGTTATCATTGAGCTGAGTGGCTCTCTGGACTACTGCAAACATATTACATCTATCTAGCTGAGAAGATGGGGCACTGAACGCAAACAGTCTGCTGCCTTCCATCTACTTATCACTCTGCTATTTCCATTTTTTTCTTTAACTTTGCCCCCCGCTCCTAGCCAGTCACACCTTCCCCACCAGAGACCACATCCATGGCAAGTTTTAATACTTAAAATGAAGACTTGGATCCATTTTGCTCAGAAACAGTACCTGGAAAGCATACTTTCACGCAAAATCCTTTTTTTTCTGCTTTTCCCAGTACACAGACATTCTATTTTTGTATCTCAGTGAATTTAAAATTCTCCTATGCAATTCAAATAAGATTTCCAAAATCAGTAACCTTTTACAGGGACAAACCAGAGCATTTCCAGTTGATAAAGTAATTTGTGAGGGGAGTACAAAGCACCTGAAAGCACAGACAGCAAGGGAAGCTATCGCAACAGAACTCACTACATAACATTAAAAAGAAAATTTTGCAATTAGGATTCTTATCAGTCTTATAAAGATCCAGATTTATGCCAGGTGGGGGGAAAAAAAAATCATTGTTCACCACAGCTCCCTCAAGCACTACCTAAGGGAGGGAAGTGATGACCAGACAGCGAAAATTAAGAAGAACGTGTCCCACCTTACGCCTATTCTGCCAATCTGTCGCGGTTGTTCTTCTAGCTCCATAGGTTTACATGAGGGTTTTTTTCCTTTTTTTTTTTCTTTTGCTGACAAGTAATACAAGACAGATTCTTGCCTTCTTAGGATCTTGCAATCTAGTTTAGACATAGCACGTCAAGTGGTGATGAAAGAAGGTTAGGGTGGGTTTGAAAAGATGAGGATTCCAACAGTAAACGATGCAGAGACATCAGTTTAGTAATGTACACATGTTTTGCATGATTCATTGGACCAAAATGGCCAAAGGAACTTAAAAAGCTGTCAAAGGCATCTTTACCTCTGACCTACCTAGTCATCCATCTGCTTCCTCATGCTGTCAATCAAAGCCCTCCCATCCTTATCACTATTCTATTACACACATTTTCCACAACCATTTCTCCTCCAGCTCTTAAAAAATATCTTAGCAAACATTTCAATCAGTCATTAAAAACCTTGTTAAAATATGCAATGTGTCATCAAATATGCATAACGTACCCATGCAAAATCTGCAGAGCATGTATGGCTGTATTGCATTCCATACAGCGTTAATGTGAAGCATCGCAAAAAGTATTAGCAAAACAACTTCGGGTTACTTTCTGAGGACCACCTTGTTTGGAGCTCGACTTCTGTTAGCATAAAAAAGCAAAGGAGGGGCAATTGACCAGGTTATTTTCCAGAATAATTAATTTAAAAGCCTGCTCGGCGCGAACAGAATAAGATTACACTTCACATGAAACGCACGCGGTTAGCTGCCGCTCCGACAAATCAGACGCAGGGTTTGTTTCAGCCGCACGGAGCACACCGGGTCAGAGCCGCATGCTGCGCTCGGGGGCACGCAAGCACCTTCAGGTGCAAACATGGGTGTGACAGATATGCACCCGCACCTACAGCAATAATAATAATGTAATAATAGTGTAATAGTAGCAGGTTGACCTACCGATAAGAAATAGCCCTTCTGCAGTCTTTCTCTCTTCCAGCCTCTCGCAGGAGTAGTTACGGGTTTCTAACCTCCTGTTGGAATAGTTACGGAACACCGTTATCTCTGAGGCACGGGAGGGGATTTGGCTCAGATCTGTCGCACGTTGCGTGGCCATCCCGGACCCAACAGGCGCCGGGTCCGCTTCCCCGCAGCAAGGCCGGCCACTCGGCGGCCGCGGGCTCACCTCAGCGGGGCCGCGCGTGGAAGCACGGCGCGTGGCAGGGCTGGCCTTCGCACCCCACGGGGCGGGGGACAGCGCGGGCTGCCGGCGTCGGTGTCGTTAACCTCGCACAGCCCGTCCGCGGGCCTGGGCGGACGGGGCGGCGGGCGCGGGCTGAACGCAGTTCGGCGCGGGGCCGCATCTCTCCGAGCGGTTCGGTACCGCGTCACGGCCCGGGCGCCGAGCGTCCCCGCGGGCGGTGCCCCAACGCCCCGACGGGGCACGCGCTGCCCTCGCGCGACCTCTCTCCCGCAGCGCGAGGGCGGCTCGAGCCCCGGCTCGAGCCCCGCGTGGAGTTGCGCGGGCGCGCGGCAGCGGAGGGGCAGCGCCACGAGCCTCGGAAGCGCGAGAAAAGAAAGCACGCGCGCTCGGGCCTGCGGCCGGGTGTCAGCAGCACGCTCGGACCGACGGACGACAGGAGAGAGCCGCTGGGCTCCCGTGGCGCGCAACAAAGCGCCGTCGGGGTTTTCACGGAAGATCCCTCCGCCTCACGACCCGACGGCGCTCCTCCCGTCCGCGCGCACAGCTCTCGCTCCCGGCCCCGGGCGGCCCCGCCGGCTGCTCTCGCGGACGGCGCAGCGCTGCCCCACAGACGTGAGCGTTTTGCCAGGTTTATTTTACTTGTCATACACAGACGATACAAACGGGCAAAAACCGAAACATTTCTCAATGGAGCATGTACTGGTATAAAGTATTCAGTTCCACGGACATAACAGAACGAATATAAAAATCACAACATTCGATTTACAGAAGAGTCAAAAATATACACACGTTTATGACCCTGAATTTCTATTAGGAAACTTCCCCGCCGAGTGTAACCTAGACCGAATACTTAGCCCGATGCATATTTCGGTTTGTAATTGTTTCTCATATAAAAACGCGTTAATTTTATGGATTTGCTACTCGAAATCCGAAGTCTTTACTGTTGTGCTTCGCCGGGAGGAGCCGCGGGACGGCACCGCTCCGCCATGGCACAGCCGGGGCTGCGCGGCGGGGCGTTCGGCCCTCGCGGTGCGTCCGCAAGGCGGACAGGCAAAGCTCGGTCAGCTACTTGATGAAAAAGTCAGTTCCAAAACTAAATGCAGTAAAATATACAACTCACGATTCATCTCCACTGGACTACACTATGGTTACCAACAATTCAGTCGTCTATAGCTTTTTTTTTTTTTTTTTTTTTTTTTGTCTTTTTTTTTTTTCCCAAGATTATTCATTACAAAGATTTACAGCGATATAAAGAAAGAGGGGAAAACTGCAAAGAAATTTGAGAAGAGTTTGTCAGCATTTTTGGCACCTGCAGGGACCGGTAATGGATTTGGCACTCGGGGTCAAGGGGAAGAGGAATATCACGAAAATAATGGTATTGCTGCTGTCGAGCTATTCCTTTTAAAGAAAGATACAGAGGCAGTTAATTTTGCTTTGGGAAGGCGTCATGCTACTTTAATCGACTTTCCTACGAGAAGTATTTCTGTTCTGCCGGAGGGAAGCTCAGTTGCGCCCCAGCCGTGGCGGCCCGGGGCAGGGCGGGGTTCGATCATGCGAGGAGCTGTGGAGAAAGGCGGACAGAACTCCGCTCGCGGTCACCTGAGGGCGGGCTGGGGAAGGGCGCGGGGGCAGAAGAGGGAGATTTAAACAGGATCTAAGTGTTACGACTTAACAGTGAAAACAAAATTAAAACCGCAACGAATAGGAAACAAAACTAAAGAAAAGTAATAAATTAAGTACTATGTACAGGCATTTCACAGGCTCTTTTTCCCCACTAGCACTATCGTCCCCCGGTATCCATCCGTGGTGAGAGGAAGGAAGCGCTGTACGGTTGGAGGCTGAGCATCCTACTGCCAGTGGGGTGCGGCGGGGCCGCCCGGGGCCTCGCGGGGGCGGGCGGGGAGGGGGGCGGCGGCGGCAGCTCTGCCTCCCCCCCTGCCGGGCCGGGGCGGATGGGGAGGGGGTCAGTGCGCTAACCGCGGAGAGGTTCTTGTGCAAAACGGCGGCGGGGCCGGGCCGGGCCGCGCCTAGCTGTGCGAATAGAAGCCGTAGTAGCCGATGTCCTTGGCGCAGGTCTTATCGCAGTCCCGCTGGGTGAGAACCTCGCTCTTGAGGGGCGAGGAGCTCTCGGACACCGGGGTGTCCGAGGGGGAGATCCGCCTCCTTTTGGCCTGCTCGTAAATCCCAGAATCGGTGGAATCGATGGACTTAATGGACGACGGAGTCTCGATCCAGCTAGAGTCGGACAAATCTTTGGGCTTGGAGTCCTCGGCGCCCGGCAGAGGGGAGCGCTCGGGAGCCAGGCTCTCCGCCTCCTCCCCCAAGTAGGGGTTGCCGGCCGCCATGCGCGCTGCCGCCGCGCTGTTGGGCCAGCAGGAGAGCACGGAGCCCGACTTGCTGCAGTACTGCGGGGGGCTGCGGGCCCCCCAGCCCGACGGGTCGGCGTAGTAGCCAAGCGGCCGCCCCGCGCAACCGGCCGCCTGCAGAGGCAGCGCCTTGACGCCGGCCGCCGCGTAGGAGAGCAGTGTGGCCGCGTTGCCGGCGAAGTCGGTGGCCGTGTCGTAGGCGGAGGCGGCGAAGTCGAGGCGGTTGTTGGCGGGGGCGACGAACCAGCGCTGCGGCGAGGGGGCCCCCGGATCCTCGGCTTGCTGTGGGGAGAGCAGCCCGTTGGTGTGGGGCACGCTGCGGTCGGCGCCGGGTCCCGGGCCGGCTCCTGCCCCGGGGTGGAAGCGGGACTTGGCGTAGTTACTCACGAACTGGTCCTGGAGGAAGGAGCCGGCCATGGCGTAGCGGGCCCCGGGCACGATCTGCGAGCGGGGCGAGTCGTTGGGGGAAGGCGTCAGCCGGTCCATGTCGCAGCCCGTGTAGATCCTGCGGGAGCGAAGGGGACAGAGCTGGGTGCCAGCCGCCACGGCCTGGGCACGGACGGCCGACTCGCGACCCCACGCCCTCAGCCCCGCTCTGAACGGGGATCCCCGAGCGCTGGGCTCCGTCTCCGAGCCCCGAGAGCGTCTGTGCCGCACAGCCGCCGCTCCCGCTACGAGCGCAACAGTCGGCCCGGTCCGGCCACTGCGGAGAGCAGTCTACGGGATTGTGGCGGCTGCTTAACACTTATTATTGAGAATCACAGACGAATCGTCAACGTTTTACAGTTTTTAAATTAAGCTAATCTTTAAACACCTACTGTAGGAAAAGAGGAACCAGACGCATCCCTGCGTGGCCTATATATAATTCTCCCATGCTGGGCTGCAATTTGCGATTATAAAAACTTTAATGGATGAATAACTGCTATCTGTATTTAATTCAGGCTAAAACTGTGCTTTAATTAACCCTCCACGCCTCCTGGAATTTCTTATCCAAAATAAACTTGGCCCTTAAACAAATCCAACGTGCGAGACAACATCAAGCTTCCCCCTCCCCCCGTTTTCTTCGCAGCAGCTCCCCGTCAAGTTTTTCCCTCCAAAAAGGGCGAAGGCCCTCTCGGCCGAAGGCTACCGGGCCTCTCGGAAAGCCACACGCGGTGATCCCAGGGCAGCGCGGGGCGACAGGACTCTCCCAGGGGCAGCGGAGACGGTGGAGCCCCACGAGTATCAAACCGGGCGGACGCGCCTGGCGCTCAGCTGCACGAAACGAACACGGCGGCCGCAACCGCGCCCTCCCCGCTGCGCGCATCGGGAGTCGCGGGCCGCCCCCGCCCGCTGCCCCGGAGGCCGCTCTGAGGCGCGGCGCGGCCACTTACGTGTCGTAGTTGTCCCGGAAGCCTTTGGCGAAGGGGTTGTGGTCGATTTTCAGCTGCGTGATCTGGGGAAGGGGAGCAGAGCGCGGCGTAAGAGAGGGAACGTCCTCCCCGCTGCCGCCTGCGGCGTTCAGACGGGACCGAGCCGCGCTCCGGCGGCCGAATCGCCGCTAAGGCGCGGAGATAACGCGGCGGCGTGCCCACAGACATCGCAAAGGGAACGCTAAGATTTACTTTATTCTAAAAATTACGATTAATATCCCATTTAACCCCGTGTTTTCAGAAATATCGTTACTCGATCTGCGTCCCGTAATACACCCAGGCGCGGGCAGAGACGCGATCTCTCGCCGCGATGAACACAAGGAGTCCGGGGCCGCGCGGTCAGGGCAGGGCGCGGCGGGCACTGAGACCGAGAACGACGCCGCGGAACGCTCAGCTCGGCCGTGCTAACGGTCCCCGCGGGGCCGCTCCGAGCGGAGCACGGGGAAACGCCGCGCTCGGCCCCGGGGGAAGGCAAAGCGGAGGGCTCAGAGCGGGGGAGAAGCGGCCGCGCCCTGCGGGGAGCGCCTTACATCGGTGTTCTGGTAGGCGGTGACCGCAATGAACTGCGTCTCGGGGAAGGTGAAGGTCTGCACCCTGCCCGGCTGGTTGGTGTCCTCCGTGCCGTCTTCGTTCACCTCCACCACGTGCAGGCGGGGCTGGTACTTGTGCAGAGACTGCAGGACCACCATCTGTCGGGCACAGGGACGGGAGCGGGGAGAAGCGGGGATCAGAGCGGGAAGGACGGGGCCGGGAAGGACCCGCCGCCGCCCTCCCGGAGCGCCTCTGCCCCGGCAGCCGGCCGCGGTCATGTAAAATCATGACTAAAATACGTATATACGTCCGATCGGGCAGTTCGGGGTTCTCCCGAGGCAACAAAAATAAGCGGAGCCGTTCCCCCCACTGACCTGCCCGTTGTTGTTCGATGCTCCTTTATTGTTGGTAAGTTTGAGCTTCCCAAAGGAGATCTCCTGGCGCATCCAGTGCGCTCCCGTGTTGGGGGAGTCGGGGTGCATGTACACGCGGTTCCCTGGGCAGAACGACAGAGCAGCATCGCGGTTCGCACCGGGCCCGCAGAGCGCGGAGCCCCGCGCAGGCAGCGCCGGTCTCCGCGGCCCCGCTCGCACCGCGCTCCCTATCGCCCTCCGCTTTCTCCTCCACCCTCTCCTTTCTCAAAGCATCGCCGGCCTTTCCTCATACGAGCCGGCTCACAAAGGCTTTAATTAATCGTTCTCACCTACATATGTGTCGAGAAAAGCGTTAATTAGAGAAACTTGCCTTGTACATTGGTGTCTGCCTTGCCGCAAGGAACCCATTTGCCTCCCTGAAACCTCCAGTGGTTAGGATCCGCCAAAATTACATCCACAAAAATATTGTAGTGAGCCGTGGGGTCGAGACCAGAAATATTAAAACTGAGGAAAGGGAACATGCGCCTATAAAAAAAAAAAAAAAAAAAAGGCAAAAAAAAGAAAAAAAAAAAAAGGAAAAAGAAAGCAAGCGGCGATTCGTGTCCGCGGAGGAGCCGTCCGGCGATGCCATCCTCGCAGCTCCCGGCAGCGAGCGGGGAATAAAATCCCGTCGCGGGTCCGCGCCCGGGGCGCAGCGCTGCGAGTGGGGATGGGCGCGGGGCTGCCCGGGTCCCGGCGGCTCCCCCGGGGCGGTGGCAGCAGGCGGCTCCCGCGGCGGCTCCGCGCGGCGGCGGCGGCGGCTTACCTGCCCTGCTTGGTGATAATCATCTCCGTCTGGTGCCGGTGGAATTTCAGCCAGAGCGGCCTGTTGCACAGGTAGACCTGCGCCTTGCCCGGCACCAGCCCCGGCTGGGCGGAGGAGAACTGGTAGAACGGGGCGCCCTGGTAGGAATGGCCATACTGCTGGGGGTAGGGGTAGCCCGGCGCCGGGTAGCCCTGCGGCGAGGAGTTGGACAGGAGGCTGTTATAGGCGCCGTTGGTGATGACGGGGTGGTGAGCCATGTAGCGGCTAGGGCTGGCGATGGAGAAGGCCGGGTGAGCAGGTCCGTGCTGGCCGGGGTAGGGGAACATGGCACTGGGCGCGGAGGCAGCAGACTGGGGCTGGCTGGACTGAGAGAGCAGATAGCGATCTGCGGCAGATCCATCGAAACTGTGACGAAGCTCGGAGACCCCGTCCAAGACGGGAGAGAGTTTATTTCTCTGGACGTCCCCTGGTGTGTCCTTGGAGTCGGGAAAATTGTCTGTATCTGACTGATTCGTCATCCCCCTGGTAATTTTTTTCAAAGGTGAACTTCTCTCCAGGTTGTCAGTGGTCGAGATAATGGGATGATCATGCAAGGCAAGCTCGGATCCGCCTGCGTGTGGGTAACTGCTGCTCACATTGAGAAATTTCTTGGAGAGCATGATAGAGGGAGAAAGACAATGCTCCAGCTGCATCGCTCTGCACCGCAGCAATAACCCTTCAGTCCCTGGAGCTGAGGGCTGCTCGCTACCAGAAGCGAGACATCCTGGGACCCTCGGTAGGCAGAAAGCACTTCATCCACCAAATGCTTCCCAAACGTTTGATTTACTTTTTTTTTTTTTTTTTTTTTTTTTTTTTTTTTTTTTTTTTTCTTCCCTGGGAGAAGAGATTGGCCAATTGACACTATGCAGCAATCAGGAAAGACTCACTTTTGATCTCGCTGCTTGTGGAGAGGATGAAACGGCTCCTGCCATTGGTTAACCGCTGACAGTAATTTAATTAGATAGACATTAATTAGGATAATCACCTGGCTCCCGGTCGCGACGATCATGGCAAATTGAAGGAGATGATTTTATTGTGAGATAGAAGGAAAGCGAAGGGGGAAGGGAAGAGCGTGTTTGCTGTGAGAGCTCGTTATTCTGTGACCTTTCCCGCATTTCTGTTCTTTTTCGACCGCGGCTGGAACGCGGCCCCAACGCCGCGCGCCCCCGCCCCGCCTGCGGGGACGGCCGCCGGGCCCCGGGGCTCGGCCCCGAGTTGGGGAATAGCGAGAACCGTGCAGCCCGGCTGCCCCGACGCATCCGCCGCGCGTTCACGGGTTCCGTGGAAATACATATCGGGGCGCCGTAATGCCGGGGATTATCAGCAAAACAACACGGACGGCGTCCAGCCATCCGTTCTTGCTTCGGGGCTAGCGCCTCTCGCCGCCGTTTCCCCTCGGTGTGACTCAATCCCGCACGCGGCTCTGCGAGGGGAGGGAGAGCTTCGGTAGCCCGTTGTCGGCAAGGCTCGGCGCCTCGCGGCAGCGCACGACCTCCTCCCGCCGGGCCGCGGCCGCAGACCGGAGCCGCCCGGGCCCTCGGGGCGGAGAGGAGGGGGAACCCGGGGAAGGCCGCGGAGGAGCCTCTGGGGCCCCCGGTGCTCCCGCTGCCCTCCCTGGGCGAACTGAAGAGCTGTTAAAAGCCCCGCTTGCGTCCGTATTATTATTATTATTGCTCCGGAGGGAAGTACACTCGGTTGATTTTTCTTGCTATTTTTCCCTTAGCGCTTTGGACCCCGGGGATGCCTCCCACCGTCTCTCTTCCAAGTTGACACCAGCTTCCAATTCCACACCCGGCTAACGCAACCGGGGCCGCCCCACAGATGCACACCGGTGGCAACTTCGCGCATTCAGCCTGGGGTGTGCTGGCAGCACCGTGACCCATCACAGGGCAGGTTCAGACTCCCACCTCTCGCAGCCATTTGGGAATCGCTCAGCAGCCCGTCCCAGCGGCTGATGTGTCAGAGAAGCTATTCTGCACACTCTGCGTGGAAATTATTTGAACAAAATCATGCATGAAGCAAAAAGCAGGTGTTTGCTCACAGTCTGGTGGCATGGCACAGGCAACTTTCTGTACTGTGTCTTCCCTATTTGGTGCTTTATCCCTCTCAGCCCTAATTCTTCCCCTGACCTATCTCACCCACGTGCCTGCCTCCGCATTTCTCTGCTCAACCCCAGTGCAAAGGGAATGGGGTTGGGTACATAGGCAGGAGCTATGTTGAAACATAGCTCGACCCCACGAAATGCGGCCTTGAATTGTGTCGCTACCCCCATACATGCGCAGAGCTGCAATGAATTCAGTGGTATACTGCCAATCACATGGAAGTGTTAATGTATGCCAAAAATCCTCAGTGCACAACTCCTAAACTGGTATAATGGAGAGAGATGCAATGGCAGGTGGTGCTCCAGAACCGTCACAGACAGGAGGAGAGGTTCACTGATACAGGTGACGAGGGGTCAGGCTGCTAATGAAGGGCTGTGGCTGCAGGCTCTGAAGGCAGCTGCCCACAGACCTCTTTCCGCTGGGCTGGGTGGCTGCCTTTCAGGTTACTGCACGCACACATGCACTCCTCTGTGTAGCTCCTAAAGCACTGGACAAAAATGAGGAGAGATGCCCCCAAAAACAGCTTTTTGATTATTCACGAAACATCTCAGTAAATGGAAAATCATGCCTCTGCAAGTGAAACCGGGTACTGGATGGAAAGAGTGGCATTGCAGCATAAGCTCATGCTGCAGGGGATCTGCATCTCCAAGAGTCTCTTCAGCCACCCTCTATAAAATGTACATTTGTCAAAATAAATTTAGAATGTGCACAAACTACAGGTTTAGCTGCCTACTTGCCCTGGCCTTGCATGCATGTTACATGGAGCACTGCCAAGAGCTCCCCCCATTCTACAGCACTATGTTACCCCAGCCCCCAGTAGCCGTGTCCCTCCCAGTGCAAGGGGGACACACGAGACAAGCGCCTGGCCCTCATAAGCCTTCTTCAAGGGATGGCCAGAAAGCACTTCCACTGATCTTAACCGCAGGCAAACGTGGTTTGTTGTCTCCATTTTCTGCTGCCTACTGTGGGGGCAGAGGGAAGGCCATAAGGAGGGCAGCTGTAAAAATCTACATGTTTCCATCTGAAGTAAATGCATGCTAAATATACTTTGAGAGAGAGCTACTTGAAAATAGTTAGAAGCCTAAATAAGAAAACAGAAGAATATTTGAATGATAATGAACAAATAAATAGAAAATTCCTCAGCACCATGTCAGAAATAAGACATAATTTTAGGGTCCATTTGTTTACCATGTAAATAGTCAATTTGCTTAAAATACTCCAAAACAAAACAAAAAGATGTATCTAGGAGTTTTAAAATACTCATCTGCTACAGTTTTTTAACAATTCCAGCAGTTGAAACATTATGAATGAGTGACACAGAAAGAGAACACTTCCACCAGACAAAAGGCTCAAAGCAGCCTAATCACCTCCAACACCAAAAATCCAACCAAACTCCCCAGCACCTGCCCAAACCCAGAGGCACCCCCTAAAGCCCAGTACTTTGCTTTGTCTGCCTTAAACTACACAGCCAAACCCACTCGCCCTGTGGGAAGCATTTTCCTCTCCAGTCTGTGGAAAGGGTTTCAAATGTCATATTCCAGCTGGGACTCTTTCCTTATATTTATACATACGGGCACCTCATGTACCTCCTCTTTCACAGGAGGAAAGGTTCCTATAACCTTAGAGCAGCCTCTGCCACTTCAGCATATATTCTCAGAATACTGCTATTTATGACACCGCTGGTGAGCGTTGTGTGAATCAGTTATCAGCATAACTGAATGCATTTTCTTAAGGTTAGTTGTCTTCTGTGGATATTACAGTTTGAATACTATTGAAAGAGAGCTGTTAGCATAACTTTCAGCATTTTGGTTTTTCTATAGCCTTGGAATTCAGTGCTAGTACCTTTTTTTTTTTTTTTTTTTAATCTGAAAAAGAATATTTGACAATCAATGGGAGCCAAGTTTCATTAGAAAATTTTTTTTGCTGTCCTAGCAACTACTATCTCAGTAGTGCGACAGTGGGTAGAAATGTGTTTCACCAGCACTTTTTCTACATCGTTAATTCCCCCCACTATTTCACAAAGAAGATCTTCCAGAACTTAAGACAGGCTTGTAAATGTATTTTTATTATGTTGCAACAATCAAAATATATATGTACTACTGATTTTTTTTCCCCCAAATATCAAATGAAAATTTAATACACTTTTGCCCACATTGTGTTCTTAAATTGCTTTGGAATCTGTAAAGACCCTGATGTAAGGAAACTGAAGCAACTGCACAGTTAGAGACTGGAGGGTGTTAGAGAGCTGCTTAGACTTAGACTGCAAATGAAGTCAGATGTCCCTGTTTAACCAAATGTTGCCTCAACAGTCTCTGTTTGTGAGTATTAGAAACAATAAACAAATATACACAGAAAGCATCACAAACAGGAAATGGGTTATTTAAATACAACTGTATCCAACATAGCAGCTAAACACTGGACAATGTTTGAAGTCATCAGCACATCCACATGCTCTTCTAAATGACGTTTGGGGTCCTGAAACACAAAAGATGCCATAAGAGAAATGAGTAAAATGTCTCCATGAATACTTGTAATTACATCATTTCTATGCAAAACCACTGCAAGTTTAAGAGGCTGGTGATGCTCCAAAATGTTGTTTTCTAATTAGACTTACCATATAGAAATTCAGAAATTGCTTAGTCCATACCATCACTCAGAGAAATTGAGAATCAGTTTAGGGACTGCATTTCTATACAGCCACTGAAGAGTACCACAACAGCTGTGAGTTTTAAAAACAAAATACTACATGAGGAATTCACCTCAATTTCAATTTGTTTTCAGATATCTGTGCAAAAGTGCAACCTAGTCCTGTAAAATCTTTGAGTAGTTGTAGGACCATGAGAAAATCAGCACACAAATGCCCACAAAAAATAAACAAGTGCACAACGAGGTGTTCAAAGTTCTGAAAAATGCAATGTTAAACCTAAGGAGCATTCTCAAAATACCCATCCCTCCAGGCTATTGCTCAAAGGAGTGGGCACTTCTGGGCATTCACATAGAATAATTTGATTATTTGGGGGTTCAACATTTGGCCACATTCATAAACTTTTTCAGAAATGAAATTAATTAATATGAAAGCGCCACAACATTATCTGGCACATTTTAAAAACTTTATTTTTAGTATTTTATTTACATTGCAGCATTGTCACCTTCTTGTGCATAAAGAAAATACGGAAGGCAATCACATGTTGGAATTTTAACTTGTACTTAAAAAGAATTATTGTCAAAATCTAATGAACCAATTCAACTTACATAAGTATGAACCAGAAAATCAGTGTAAAGAATGCCATAAAACATATGGTATCTTTCTTTAAACAATTCAAAGATCATGTAGTTCTCCAATATTCTCTGTTCCAAGTAACCTGACAAACCTATTGTGAGCAGCTGTCTGTTTACAAAATTTTCTATATAAGTTGCAGAGAAATAAAAACATGTGAAAATTACTTAGTAATTTTATCAGGAAAAATGGCTTTTCTTTAGAAAGAACTTAATCAAAACATATTTTTTTCCCCTCATAATGATTTAAAAGATGAGTGAAGCCCAAATCATGTTTAAGATAACATCAAAGCTCTTAAAATACAAACCTTGTTACATGTTTTATTATATATACTTATGTTTGTGTAGACGAGCATACACTCTATTGTTCTGACTGCTACAGAAATACATGTGTGACCGAACAATAGTGTAGATGTGTTATGACACAGTTGCTAGAAGCACGTAAGAGCTATCCAGAATCCTTTAAATTCTTCTGTTATTAGCAATACAATAAATACTGGTTCTTCAAGGATTTACTCTTCACTTATAAAGCTATTTCTTGTTTCCACTGCCTTTCTTGAATTATGAACAATCTCTTACCAACTTGTTTTGCTTGTTTATCCTTTTTTTTTCCAGAGCACATTTCCTCAGCTTGTAGGTCAAAGTCATACATACAAGTATTTTTCTGTGAAGCCCTCTGCATCCGGACATTGCAAAGGGATGGAATGATTTGAATAGAGGTTTTCAGTTTCAGTTACGGTTCTCAAGTGTTTCACTCCAATAGCGATAGGAAGCAATGCAGCTTACTTGCACTCACACATATTGGAGCTCAGCACTGACAGTGTGCTTATAAAGGAGGATGGGGTGAGCTGGTTCTTTAGCCACAATAAGGTACAAAGTACGCTCTCACCTTTTCAATATTGCCATTCTTTAAAAGCCTTCCTGGTTTTGACCTCCCTGACAGTACAACAGATTAGGATATCTTTGTGTACCTCCTTGGAAAGGAGAATAAAAAGGAAAAGCTACCAAATCTCAACAGTGCTCCTCAGCATCTAATACAAATGCATATAGAGTGCAACTTGCCGATATTCTAAAGATTACCTAAGGCCAAAAGCCTTGTGCCCTACAAAACAATCTTCAGCAAAAATAAATTCATTATTTGGAGCATTGAGAATATCTTGCATGTACAAATAAAATCACCTACGCACATGTAAGGAAATTAATATTTAGAATGAAGGAAGCGTATCATTCCACCTCTAATTCATCACACCTCACCTGCTTGCCAACATTTTTTATTGCCAGCTGTTCAGGTGTCATCTTATCTTCTTCTTCAACAGCCTGTGAACGAAACACAGAAAAGGTCAATGTTTCAGATTTCATTTACTTTTTCCCCAAGCCATGAGATTCTCAAGTATATTTCAATTAAAAAAAAAAAAATAAATAAAATAAATCAAACAGCAACACTTTTAGAAAGTCAAAAAGAAAGGGACTTCAGCTTTTCAGCAGACATAGGTTTAATTACCAAGTGCCAGCGCAAAAGATCAAGGCAAATACTCATGAATAGTTTTATTGTCAGATAAGCAAAATGGATTCACAAATCTCTTTTAAGCAAAAATGCTAAAAGATTAAGGTTGAACTGGTACAACAAAAAGCAAAAAGAAAGTTGTCTACATTGTTTCAATATATATTAGAGGTTTGATCACAAGTACATTTTATAGTGCTTATAGTCACCGATACATTTTTATCATATTCTGTTGTCTTCAGATACAGCATCTGTACTATGCAAATCCACTAACTCACCTAGTGAATGAAATTCTGAATTTTACTTTTAAGGGCTTCTTAGAAGATTTAAGAAAAAAAAAACAGCCCTCATCAATAATGACTGACAAGCTTACTACTTCTGGAATGGTTGTTGAGATCTAATATTTCAAAAAAGGCCAGTATTAGAACAGTACAGATAACTGATTCTTCTTTCAGCCTCAATAACAATTTCTTTCTCTAAAAAGAGCATGCAATCAGGCTCTAGAATGAGTTCTAAATATTTACTACCTGCCTCTCTACTATAATGATACCAATAAACAACCTTTCTTCTGCTATTCTGAAGTCTGGCCAAGTAGACCTTAGCTGAAGGAATGAAGAGCACAATTTCATTTTGAACTGAGAGCGAGAATCTGAGATTCTCTTCACCAAGTACAAAATAAATTTAATTACTCACATTTCAAAGGGAAACACGTAATTAAACATTTTGCTTATCTGGGGCAAAAACTTTGTGACAAAGCCTGAAAATGTATCACAGCACTTTAATAATCACCAAGGTCCAAAGAGTTCCTGCAACAATTTCTTCATTCTTACAGCCAAATCTTTTACAATTCATTTTGAATAGGGCTTAAGACAATCACCTCCTTACTTCTGAAATCAAGGATTAATTTCTTCATAAACATTACAATTACATCATTATGGGATATGAATACCTTGTTATAATTCTTAGCTAATTCTAACATCTCCTTCACTACAGTTTCATTGAGTTTGCAGTGTTCACTGTAGTCCTGAAGTGTCAAACCTTCCATCCAACTCTTCTTATGCAAATTTAGCAACATCTGCAAAATAAAACCTGTTTAGAGCATGCATCATAAACTACATTCAAATACCATGGCAATGTCTGATTTACAGTACTAAGAGTGTAATAAAAAATATTGATCTTGCAGTGTCTAAGGAAATACAATTATCAAGTATTCCACTAAAGCAGACAATAGATTTCCCTTAAGTTTTTAAGGATCAAAAATTTTGGAAGCCTAAATTAAAAAATGAAGTGCAGAAACCAGGGTCACATCTACAGCTACACAAACTCTTTCCTTTGGTAATTTAGTGGTTTTGCTGGAGGCTGAGTATGCACAAGTGTATTGCTAAAGAAGTAGTAGGTAACATTTTAGCAACATTTTAGTAACATTTTAGCAGCCAGGTGAAGAAGAGTTGAAGCTTTTGGCCTGCGTTAAACTTGAAAAAATATTTTAACGCTTTGATTAAATGTATTTGGGCTTAACTTATCATCCTGAACTGTACAAAGCAGCTGCTGCAGTTGTGAAGAAATGAACATCAAGGGAACCAAAATATGACTTTTGTTGGTCCTCCTAAAAAGTAAAGTGCCTTAAAAACATGACAAAATGAAGCACATTTTTGATGGCGATAAAAGCATGGGCTATTAGAAATATCTGAAATGTGCCTGGCTCTCTGATAACATTCTGACATTTGTGGAAAAAAAAGAAATAGTTACAAAGGCAATTTCCTGATTTTCATCTGTTAGGAAAACCTATTTTGCAGTTATGCACACTCAAGGACTGTAAGAAGCATTACTTCAGCAAACAGTTTCAGCTTGCCTTTACTTTGCAAGCATTTATTACAGAGGTTTTTAAGAATCCATAAACCCTGCAGTTCCCATTACCTGAATGAAAGAAAGAAGCTATTTCATCCAATGTACTGCTTCCAAAGAAACCTGGCTTTTGAACATACGAACCAAACTGAAAGTGTCATAATTCTTATTAGCAAGATTTTAGTTACTGACAGAAGGAGTTGTGGGCAAACTGCATATGGACAGTTTAGCTAGGCTATCTGGATTTTAAAGCATGGTTTTGTGTGATGGGCTGCTCCTTTAATAGATGAAGCATGTACTTTTCTTTCTACAGATGGAAGTAACAGATCACCACCAGCACCATGAGGGTGTTCTGTCATCTAAACCTGCCTTAGGAGAGCGAGGTAGAAATAACTGCATCACAGACTGAAGCTTCCTTAATTCGGTCACGATTGTTCTCCTACTGGCAAAATCCATTTACATATGTAGACCGTTAAACCAAATTCAGACTAAGAACTTCAGATAAGAAGTCGTACTTTAATAGAAATGGGAGCCTCTGGATGCTGTATAGGCATTTCCCAAGACATCCAGTTCTTTTGAATCAGTAACTGTCCTACATAATAGCGCAGTCTTGCAAGCATATTCCTCCATTATTCAAAATTGTTTCTCTTTTTATTACTTCTAGCTCTCTAAAAGTAGAAAATAAGAAAACTATTCTGACTGCTGCATCACAAAATCCAACTATTCATGGCAACACAGTCACGAACATGCAGTTGTAACTGAGCCTTAGAACCTGGGTTTTCAAGAATTAACTTTTGTAGATGATAAATAAGATTCCTTCCCCTGTTTGTTCTCCTGGCTGAGACTGTCAAGCTAGAGAATTTTACTTGCGATTGAGGAATTTTGATACAAAAGACTCAGTTTCTCATTTACTGAATACTTTTTACTTTCTGTAAACATGTGAAAGTAAGAAGGACATCACTACCTTCCTGATACTCAGTGGTGTCTTCAAGAGCTCTATTCATGCCAACTGGATGCATCTTCTGTTGAAGTGATTATAGCCAATAAAAACCTAAGACTCCTTGGTCATACAATTTATTTTAGAAAATATAGCCATCCAGCATCTGTAATTCCTGCCAAAAAATCCTAAAGCAGCTAGTATGTCTTTGAGCCTACATCACTGATAACTCAACTTTGTACAAACCCATTAAGCGTGGAGAACAGCACGAGGACTTTCTGTGAAACATGGACACAAATGTTACAAAAATCCTTACATGAACGTTAGAATGAATTTTCAGAAGGTTTCATCAACAGTACTACATATTTAAGTGCTTTCTAGAAGATAAGCCAGGAACTGTTAAAACAACTCCTGAAAGAATCAGCAATTAAAATCAGAATTCACAAATCCCATGTAATTTGTGCAGTGTTCTTTGTTCTCTGAATAAAAGCAAAAATAATTACCTTCTGTTCTAGTTCATTCTTCCTGTAGTTGATAGTGATGGAATAGTAATGTCTGTTCAGTCCATGAATTAGTGCCTGTAAAGTTCAGGGTAAAGTTAGCACAAAAATTACCCGCCATTGAAATGAAGAGATATTAGAAGAGTTCATTAAAACACAGCCATCTTCAGACATCACTTCAAGTAAATGTACCTTTTCTTACTCGTCTCTTTCAAAGTTAACTGACAGTTATACTTTCTGTTTCTAAAACTGGACTTATTCCATGCAGTAACACCCATCCATTGTAAGAAAAAGCAGTAGCTGCCTGCAAATGCTGAGCAATACATATGCACAGATATTTCCTCCAGATCTTACCTCACTCAATAAATTTGGGTATCATTTCTACTAAAACTCATCTCTTTCTGCTAGAAACAGAAGAATGCTGACTATGCGCATCACATTCACCCTACACACCAAAGCTCATTTTAAAATTTCAAATACAAAAATATCCTCTGACAATTGCACCTTTGCCAAATCTGTCTTTAAACTTCATAATCTGAGTGACCGAGATGAGGTGATACGCCATCTTTAAGCACTGATTTTCTATTTTATTCATGTGGATTACTTTTTTTTTTTTTTTTTGTGAGTAAAGAGTGATTTGGATTAGGATTTGGTGCAGCGGAGTTTAAAAAATTATGTGATAAATCTTCAGCAAAACTATAATTTGCTATTTTCAATTAAAACTTTACATACAAAGCACATATTTAGAAAACAGATAAACCACACTTAAGCCACAGTCACAAATGTTTCTTATGTTTCAATTGTTCCACCTGTCCATGTTTAAATATATTCTTTAGAGCAATCCAGAATGCATGTGCATTTGCATCTTACGCAACTTAATATTTCAGCATTCCAAAATTATCTGGATGAAAGCTGGAAATGTTCTCAGACATGCATTTTTTAACACATTTCTTTTCAAAGATACACAGACTTGAAAAAAACCAACTGATTACTTTTACAAGAATTAATAGTTCAGGATAAGCACTACTCATTTTACTGATTATAATTAGAATTATCAAATACAGATTTTATCATGAATAAAGAACTTTATGGCAGAAGCTATTAGCAATAAGAAGTTTCCACTGTCATTTCCAACTGCTGCATAAGAATTTGCTTTGTTTTAAAAACAGTTGTAGACACTGTGGGAGTGTTGCAAATCTCCTATAATACATAGGATTTGACAGGTGCCTTACTTTCTCCAACTTTCCTTCCGTACACCCAAACCATTTCTTTATAGTATGGACAAACACAAAAGGTAAACAACCACTCTACTTTAACACTGCGAGGAGTTGTGATTTGGCAAATGCAACAGCGTAAACTGAAGCCCATAAAATAAACGCTTTACATTCTAAAGCAAACCCTACTCTTAGCACACCATTTCAATGGGAACTGCCATTCCTACATGCCTTACAAACTGGATGCACAGACAGAGAACAAGTAAAAAAGCTTCTCATAAAAGAAAAAAAGGAAATAGGGAAAAAATAACAACAACAAAGGATGAAGCCAAGTAATTCAGTGTACTTATTATAAAAGCAAGACCAAACTGAGTCCTTGCAGGAAAAAAGCAGCTGTGCATTAAGACCAAGCCACGGCTTTTAGCTTAGTGGTGACACTGCAACAGTTCACTGCCAATTTGCAAAAAAATTACGCAAATAACTCCCTAACAACAGAAACCCAGAACTCCCATGGCTAAAATTTGCCACAGTGTAGTGACAGTGATCTTAAAATAATGAAACTTAACAATACTTCAGGGGCTTACAAGGGAAGTCATTACACACGATCCAGAGAAGCTCAGTTAGGATATTAACCTGAAAGATGCAAGCACGGGCTTGCCTATACCCAGTCAAGACAGCAGCCATCTGTTTCAAACTTATTCACGTTCATGATTTTTGCCAATTCAAAAATCAAAAGTAAAATACAACAATCTTGTTTAATAAGCTGGTTTTAATAATTTATTTTAATAAGAAAGGGTTTCAATGCATAAGTAATAAAAATGAATTGATCTTTTGAAAGCTAAGAGTATGGTGATCTAGTCTCTCAAAGGTCATTTCTCCCCTCCATGAGTTCTATCATGACTAGCATACTGTCATTTTTCTAGCATGCTTATCTAGCAGATATTATTTTTATTAAGTAAAGGATCAAAAGAAAAGGATGCAAGTACACATGCCTGTTAGAATGCGCAGTAAAGGGAAAAAGTTTTCTGAAGAGAAAAAACAGAAAGACATTGAGGCAGAAGAATGATAGATAAAAACATTAAATTACTCTAGGGAATACTTGCTTCAGACCAGAAGCTGTATCTTGAAACACTGGTTTGTTTCATTCAAGACAAACATTTTTGTCTTACTAGCAAAATTGTTAATTTTGGAATTCAAACTCTGAATATCGAGTTTCAAAATGGTTCCAAATACATATAAGACAACATTCCCAAAGAACAGAAATGTTATAGTTGAGACAACCAATCAAACGACCAATTGATCCACTGAATCTCCTATTCCACTTTTTTTTTTTCCCAGCAAATTACTGTATCGTATCAAAATCAGAGACAAATTTTAAGACAAAATGCAAGTTTAAATCCAAATTGCATGTTTAAATCCAAATTGCATGTTACACAACAATATGCAATGCATACAGCAGAAAGGCAACATTATTTCCGTAATTTGTTCCAGAATAACTTCAGAAGGTTTAGACAAGTTAATAAGAAAGTTTTAATTTAAAATTGCAAAACTGAAAAAGTTTAATAGCCTACCTAATTCATGTCACGTGGTGTGGTATCGTTACTTTTAGAAGTTTACATTAAAAAAAATTTATGCTCTAACCTCTGCAGTAAATAATTACACAGAAATTCATGCTTTTCTAGCTAATTTAGGGCTCAGTTTTGAACTCTTCATATACATAACTCCACTGATGATTCACATCACTTTTAAAGGCATGCAGAAAAATGCTAAACAGAGAACAATAAACAACTTGTAGTGTACTGTCTTCAGGCACCTTCCCCCCAAAATGCTGAAAAGGTCCTGCAATTTACAGGATTATCAACACTGGTTTTACCTGGATAGATGGCTTATTTAAGTGACCCAGATTTGAAGTTGTTTGTCTTGGTTCATGTCCCAAGACCATCATATTAGCATTGATCAATCTGAAGGCATCAATAACAACCTGTAAAAACAAGATGTCAAGTCAATTCTTTTTAGAAAATGCAACTAATAGTGCCAAGCTACAGTGGACAAGGCACAATCAACTCTCATCTGTTTTTGGCCTTTATCCAGAAAATCATTTAATTATAATATTAATAAAAAAGAGCCTCCTGCTGGCTATGCTATCAGCACACTACACTACCTTGCATTGTAAGGTGACACCAATTACTATCTTTTCCATGAAGCTGCAAGTTTTATATACATTATATAATCAGATAACAAATTTTAATGTACATTTACTCTTAATCTTCAAAGGTATGCATATGTTTGTCACCTAAATCTTATCCAGTCATAGTGAGTGACAGAGAGAGACTAAAACTGAAAGTGAGCACAAGCTAAGGGACTGAATCTAAAGCCCAGTCCTGTCACATCAATTATACTACCACAATACTTGAAATGACAAGAAAATTATAGCTAGCAAGGAACTTGCCCCATGTATTCCCTTCTAGTCAGATGCTTTTTGCTTCTTGTGACTACGGAAGGGTCTATAAACTGTCTGATGGATTAAAAAGTCCTTGTCAGTGTCATGCTCAGGAGTAAAAAATAGAGTATATGAAAACCAAGGTCATTTATGATTTAAAGATACACAGTAGGTATTATTCAGAGCCATTTCTTTGCAAATAAAGTAAATTCATCACTGATTTTTGTTCTGCCCTGTGCTGAATTTGACTATGAAAATATTTGGAGATGGTATTTCATGGCCCAAAGAATAAAATCCAATCACCTATCCAACTCTACACCAGATGTGATGGAACTGAGGACATACCAGCAATACACACAAAAAGTTAACTCTCACCAGGCACTTGCCATTACAAGCCAACCATTCCTGTTCAGGCCCCAGTCTTCTGACAAGGCCCAGTATCACATAGCCACACAAATAGCTCTTGCCAGTCTTTGCAGACAACTTTTCTGCCTAGCATTGAAGAGTTATTCCAGATCTTCAAGCTAAATATTTTCAATCTCAGCTGCTTTTACTGCAATCATTTTTATTCTCTCCCATACTACAGGCTGGTCAACAGCAGATACATTTATAGGATTAGTCTGATAGTTTGAGGTATTTGAGCTGAACTAAGTCTTTTGTCATGAATCAAGAAGAAATCAACCACTGTCTCCTACCAAAAGTCTGTGGAGAAGGCGAGACTGGGTTTTCCACACTGTCCTAACATTTTCCTCTTGATTAACACCAGTAATAACTAAATACATATGAAGTTTGTTAGGATTATAATTATTAAGGATTATTAGGATTATAATTGTTAATTATAATTGATGTTTAAATGAAATTAGTAAGCAAGTATTTATCACAAAATACTTTCAAATTGTAAACTTAAAAAGCCTATTAACTCATCACCTTTACTTTTCAGGCCCCACTATTTCAGCCATGCTGAGTGACAAAGTATCACTCACTATCACTACAGCCTACTGAGTGGCCTCTCAGCTGCCAGACCTGTCTGCATCTATCACAGCTTAGAATATACTGTAGAAAGTATATGAAACAATTTTATGTTAAAAATATTAGGCCGTGACCCAATTAACATCAGTTAACAGTGATAATTCATTTCTGGACAACAATAAAGCCAAACTAAATAAGCAGCAAATGCAAACCACATTATATTAATACTACAAAATTATTTTAAAAAACCCTTAATTCTCAATAGCTTACATACATCTCATTGACCTCAAATAAATGTATTTTTCCTCTTATTACTATCAGATTTTCCTCTTATTACTATCAGATTTTTCAAGTACCTTAAAATACTCATGACAAGCCATTTTATTAAATTCTGTGTTCCATTTTAAACAGATGCTCCAATTTATGAACACCTGGAAATGCCCAACCATAACAAACAGGCAGTATAAATTAAAAAGTTGAGTTATGAAAAAAAAAAAAGAAAAAATCCACACTGCAGGTCTCCTGAGACAAGCTGGCTAAGAGGGGAAAAAAAAAAATCAAGCAAATAATAGCTGGCTCTGAGGAGCAAGCAAGGCTAGCAAGGCAGCGCAGTGCCAGGCCAGGCAGGACTCATGGCCTCTCCAGACTGCAACCAGCACTGCTTCAGCTGGGCAGCATAACAAAGCTGTGTGAAGAACCAAAATCACAAACTGCACACTTTACACAGGGATAAAACCATAATTCCTATAATCTAGAAGGGCAGAACAATGCACACGGATGGTATTTCTCATCTTAGTTGCACTATGACGAGCAATGGTAACTAAATACTTTAACTACACTAAGATTAAAGGAATTTGCTGCTATCACTATAGCAACCATCTTACAGAAACTAACATGCTCAACAACCTGGAGGCTAAATTTAGACCTAATACGCAATAAAAGCATAAACAACAACAAATCCTATATATTGGCTTCCACAAAATGTAATTGCTTTCTTCTTGGTGAGAACAAATCGGTTCCTCTGTTAAAGGATTACATAAAAATAAATACTCATTAATGTCCAGTTACTAATGAGCAATGGGTGAACTAGGTGTTAATTATGCTGCAGTAAGATTAGAGAAAAGAACCCCTGTGGGTGAGCGCTCGGAGGTGCATGGGGCTGAAGTCAGCTTACTGCATTTGTGTATTTTGAAGTACAGCATGATGCAATCAGGTGACGGCAACGTGGTCACTCGCTGTTGGACTATGGAAACTTCGGAGACAGTTCATCAAAAAAATGAACCTCTAAGGTTTAATCAAAAGCAGCACAAACCCACACTTCACTACTCAGAATTTCACAAAGAAGTCAGTATGTCTCATCCAAATTTTTTAAGCTGTCACTGCACTTCAATTATCTAATGCATCTTGCAGTGTGTTAGTAAAAACCAGTTTTCAAGTTTCATGCTAAATCATCTTCCTGTAAAGACATAAAAAGTTAAAGAAAAGTCTGTGGCATTGGGATATTTTCCAGAAGTAAGGTGGTAAGATTTTCCTCAAATGCAATTCCAGAGTGCATCTCTTTCACCGCTCTGACCAGTTAATTTCTCTGAGTACAAGTGTCTTCAGACTTTACAGGGGTCACTTCAATAGCAGACAGCTTATAACAAAACCATTAGCAGTTTGGCTAGCTTAAGGAAACCTCTTACTTTCCTTTTTTGTTTATTATCACTGCATGAATCTGCAGCATATGAGAGTTTATAATTTCTCAGGCTTGTTAAATTCATGTTAAAGGTCTGTTTTCTTGTTGAATAAATTTTGTTCATATAATGCTGCCTATTTCATATACTGAGTCTTTAATAGCACCTTTGGTCTATGCGCAACTCACAGATCAAAACAGAGGACTAAAATAGGGGTTGATGATGCTATTTACATGTGTGATTCCTGCTGTCTTCTTGTTAGTAGCTTTAATATAATAGAAGACCTTGTCTGTTTTGTAATTAACACATCTTTACTGGAGAGATATTTGGAAGTGATTGCTGTGAATATACTGGTTAGTAAAATAAACACAATCACACACCACTTTCTGTTATCAGACAAATTTGTGAATTGTACACATTATACTCCAGATCAACAAACTGTGATATAACAGCCAAGTAGAAGACACATTTATATAACCCTTTATTTTTCTGAAAATATGTATTCAATCTGACCTTGCAAATATAATTAGCTTGTGGGATGTGTGGATTTCAGTACCATGGATGCTTTACTAATTGCAGCTCTTGGAAATAGATACTAAATATTTGGAAGCTGCCAATACAAAATAAAAACTGCATCTTTTTGTACATCTGTCTTAGCTTCAAAAAAGCATAATAATCTAGAAAACAATAACTATACAGTATTTTCCAAACATTTTCCTGGGGTCATTAACCACAATAGAGACCACATAATTGACTTCCAGAAACAAAATTCATAATTATGCTCAGTCTACTTTATAAATTTGAGAATAGCTATAATTAATACAATTCATGGCTACTCACAAGTGTTGGATTCTTCAACTAGTAACTAGATAGAAATCTGGTCTTTTCTAATCTGTGCATATTTATTAAAAATAATGGCATGATTAAAAATTTAGAATGTTCAGTAGCCAGATATGTTTCAGCTTCTTCAGACACCGTGTGCCAGGTACATAACCACTGTTTCTAAAGCAGCCTTCAAAACTTTGTGTTTGAAAAAAATTTATGAGAAATTTAGGAGTAATTTATAGACGTGATTCTATTAAATTCCTTCAACATCAAATCTACAAATAAGACTTAAGCACTTAAGGCAAGGTCTACCATATTTTAATGCTGAAGTTCTGTAAGAAGTAAGCCAGTCTTTTTTATTTTAATTACATTTTTTTCTAGCATCAATATTTTTTCCACTGAAGATTCTATCACATATGGTGACTATCTTTACAAATGTATTGTATCCTTTAAACTCAAATAGCAATGCATTGTTTATGCCATATGTTTGTGAACAAATACGCCAGTGCTTAAAGAAAATTCTGCAAAAGATATAATGTGGTTATGCCAGGTGTGGAAAAAGAAGTAATGTCCCATCTAAAATATCTTTTCTCACCTGCAACTGACCTGTTATCGACTGCTTAGTTTGCTTCTAGATTCTTTAAAAATGAAATGGAACATGTGACCTGAGAAGTGCAGCTATGGTTTATGACCATTTCGTTATTTATGCTGCCATGCACTGTTAGACAACTACAAGTGAAGAACATCTTCTGTCCCCTGTAAGCCCACAACATAAAAAATTAAAAGAAATCTTACTTTTTATGCCATTTCCAATGAAAAGCACTAAGAACTGAAACCGACTCATGCCAAATGCATACCACTGAATTGCTGTGATTGTGAGTTTGAAGTTTGCAACATGGAAATTATTTATAAAATGTCAATTTTAGCTCTGGAAAATATATTCCTAGGAGTATGTGCATTTTCCTTCTCTATCCTTAGAGAATTGCTTATTTGTGGTCAAATCTGCTATACAACTTCAACATCCATACTGGGAGGGGAGAGGACTACAGTATAATACATTTATTTTGACAA